CACACACCCACACACACACCCACACACACACACACACACACACACACACACACACACATATATATATATATAGTCGTTTCACCCCCAAGTAAGAGGTTAATGCCACTAAGGCACAAAGTGTTATTGAGAATGAAAAAAAATGAGAAGACTCTAGTGAGGAGAAAGAACAATAAAACAACTGGATTCAATCATCAGGGAACCAAACACAAAAATTCCATCGCACTTACCTTACACACTGCTTTGTCTCTCATTCCTACCTGAAGACACATGGCATAAAGAGGTGAAACGCATTATCTGAACAGCTTTTACACTTTGCCATATTATGTCGCTTTTTGTTGGGATACTATTCTACATCCTACTAACAATCATATATATAATAATAAATATACAATTTGTTCCTCACTATCAAAGAGTGAAGACCAAAATGTATATTATAGATGTATATTATAAATTTTAGCTAAAATATGTATGTGTGTGTGTGTGTGTGTGTGCGTGTCTGTGTGTGAAGTTCCAGATATAACTAAAATTATATCTGTAAAACGGCAATATGAATAAACGATAAAAGGAAAACTTATCTTAGCCAACATGTTTTGTCCTCCAATGGACTTTGTCAAGGCTTTTATTTTGTAACAAATACTTAGAAACAAAAATATTTATAAACAAAAGACAACATTTTTACTTTTGGTTATAAATAGTTGTTGCAAAATAAAATCTTTTGCCTTGATAAAGTCCATCAGGGGACAAAGCATGTCAGTCAGCTAAAATAAGGTTTCTTTTGTCTTTATTTATGTATATACAGTGTATCACCCCTCACATTTCTTCAAATATTTAAGTATATCTCTTCATGGGACAGCACTGAAAAAATTACCTTTTGACACAATGAAAAGTAGTCTGTCTGCAGCATATATAACAGAGTTAATTTCTTTTCCCCTCAAAATAACTCAAAATATAGCCATTAAAAGCTAAATCCCTGGCAACAAAAGTGAAAACACCCCTAAGAAACTACACCCCTAAAAAGTGAGTACACCCCTAAGAAACTACACCCCTAAATGTCTAAATTGAGTACTGCTTTTCATTTTCCCTCCAAAATGTCATGTGACTCATTAGTGTAACTATGCCCATGTGTTCATGGGGAGCAGGTGTATTTGTAGTGCAGCTCTAACACTCTCTCTTACCGGTCACTGAAAGTTACAACATGGCACCACATGGCAAAGAACTCTCTGAGGATCTTAAAAAACGTATTGTTGCACTACATAAAGATGGCCAAGGCTACAAGAAGATTGCCAACACCCTGAAACTGAGCTGCAGCACAGTGGCTAAGATCATCCAGCATTTTAAAAGAGCAGGGTCCACTCAGAACAGGCCTCGGGTAGGTCGTCCAAAGAAGCTGAGCGCACGTGCTGAGCGTCACATCCAAATGCTTTCTTTGAAAGATCGGCGTAGGAGTGCTGTTAGCATTGCTGCAGAGATTAAAGAGATTGGGATTCAGCCTGTTAGTGTTCAGACCATATGCCGCACACTACATCAAATTGGTGTGCATGGCTGTCACCCCAGGAGGAAGCCTCTTCTGAAGGCAATACACAAGAAAGCCTGCAAACAGTTTGCTGAAGACATGTCAACAAAACCCATAGATTACTGGAACCATGTCCTATGGTCTGATGAGACAAAATTTAATTTGTTTGGTTCTGATGGCCTTAAGCATGTGTGGTGGCGACCAGGTGAGGAGTACAAAGATAAGTGTGTCATGCCTACAGTCAAGCATGGTGGTGGGAATGTCATGGTCTGGGGTTGCATGAGTGCTGCAGGTATTGGAGAGTTACATTTCATTGAGGGAAACATGAACTCCAACATGTACTGTGAAATACTGCAGCAGAGCATGATCCCCTCCCTCCAGAAACTGGGTTGCAGGCAGTGTTCCAGCATGACAATGACCCCAAACACACATCCAAGACAACCACTGCTTTACTGAAGAGGCTGAGGTAAAGGTGATGGACTGGCCAAGCATGTCTCCAGACTTGAACCCAATAGAACATCTTTTGGGCCATCCTCAAGCAGAAGGTGGAGGTGCGCCAGTCTCAAATATCCGCCAGCTTCACGATGTCGTCATTGAGGAGTGGAAGAGCATTCCAGTGACTACCTGTGAAGCTCTGGTAAACTCCATGCCCTGGAGAGTAAAGGCAGTTTTGGATAATGATGGTGGCCACACAAAATATTGACAGTTCACATGCTGTATGTTAATATTGACAACTTTTCCTAAGGGGTGTACTCACTTTTGTTGCCAGGGATTTAGCTTTTAATGGCTATATTTTGAGTTATTTTGAGGAAAAATAAATTAACTCTGTTATATATGCTGCAGACAGGCTACTTTTCATTGTGTCAAAGTGTCATTTTGTCAGTTTTGTGATACACTGTTTTTTGTCACTTTTTGATACACTGTATATATATATATATATATATATATATATATATATATATATATATATATATTCATTTATGCATATATATATATATATATATACACATTTATATATATATATATATAAATATATATATATATATATACATTTATGTATATATATATATATATATATATATATATATACATATATATATATATATATATATATATATATATATATATATATATATATATATTTATTTATATATATATATATATATATATATATATATTGGAGAAAAATGTGTGACAAAGTGGAAAAGATTTCCTTGTGACACGTTTCATCTTTTAGGACTTCATTGGACTAAATTTTTTATGGTGCAACTACACATGAACACAGATAAGGAAAAGGAGCGAGTTTCACGTTTTAATTAAAAAAAAAATTTTTTATCTAGCCAATTTCATTTAGATTCTTTTCCGCTAGATTAAAAAAAAATCATAATGAAGAAAGAGGCTTTCAATAATTTGGCACTCATAGCACATATTGAAAACAAGAGGGAAACACTGAGTTCTATCTAACAAGCTTGTTCAAACGAATGGCAGAACAGGGAGAAAAGGGATGGTGAAATGACAAATCTTACTGAGCTAAAAAGAATAGGAAGTTGTGGAGAGCCATCAAGCTACTGGGTATATGGAAGATACAAATTACGCATTCATTTATTTTTAGAATCATGTCAAAAAATGAAGAATATTCAAAGGAAATGAAAAATAAATTGATTGAGGCTTTATCAGTCTGAGGAAGGTTATAAGAAAATTCCCAAGCATTTTGATATACCTTATTTCACTCCCTTGTCCCTTGGTAGACACATGGCTACATCTTGGAAAGTAGTTCAAGAACAGTATTTTTCAGTACCCCTTTATATATATATATATATATATATATATATGAATAAATTGTTAGAGGTACAGAAGCGTAATATTGCAAGGAATAGATACAATTTATTTCCTAAAGGCATTATGAAAAATAAAAAATAACAGATGATAACACTTACAGAACAGACCAGTTTCGTTCCCAAGCTCATCAGGGTCGACTGGGAACAATTTAACAATTATTGCAAAATATATTTACTCATATATATATATATATATATATATATATATATATATATATATATATATATATATATATATAAAGTATCCTAAGGAGAAATACATGTAAATTGATTTAGGAAAAGGTGAGGGAGGAACATTTTTCTTGTTTTTTTTAGTCAACTAGGTATTTACTCTGTCTCTCCACTAAGATGAGTTGTGACACAAGGTCTTTTATTAAGGTGTGGACCCGAGCACGTACACCCGGGCCAGGAACCAAAATTGCCTGCAGCCCCCGTTGGTTTTGCTAGCCTTCAGTGTGAGCACCGATCCCTCTCTCTGGTGCAATGAGAGGCTGCAGCCTCAGGCAGCTGTTCCCCAGGTCTGGGCACCTCTCCGTATAATTTTCCTAATTTGTGACTCTGTCCTTTGACGGATTTGCCCCTGAGTGCACTCTGCCCAAAGATGGAGACACAACTGAGAGATGATAAATAATGTGTTACAAGCCAGAGAGCGATTCAACTATATATCTAAACATGATTTTGGTTCTTAAAAATATGCTTTCTCTCATAAACCTAGGAACATTTATATGAAGCACAATCAAGTTATCATTGATCATTACAAATAACCTGTGAGTGTCAGGGTGAAAAAAAATGTTATAATAAAAAAAAACAATGATGTAAACATTAGTTGAGAACAAATTACCATATATTTCCGCGTGTAAGGTGGCCTTTAGATAACACAAAGTCAAAAAATATAGCAGATTTTCATGAATTTATCCTATACTTGTTGTATAAGACAACTGCTTGTATCCTTAGAAATTCAAAATAAACGAAATAACAAAAACTGATTCCATATCATCTTACTTATTCCTACATATGTCCCCTGAAAGGGAAACCATTGCTTTGTTTATGTTTCATCACGTGATCTCTTGCCAATAATGATTCTTCTTTTTCCTCTTTTTCTCCTATATATAAACAGTCACAAAACAGTATGGTGTACTAATGCCATTTACTTATGCTTCATATGTAATCACAAAATACCGCTAGTAACAGTACAGTAATACTACATTCCATTGCTGTGAGCGCAATAATTCACTGTTTACACTTTTTCAGCTGAGTTTGCATGGATACGAGCTGATTTCATTGATGTGGAATTATTCTTTGAATAGGCAATATAAGGTAGAAATGGTTTTATTATCAGTTTATTTGATAATGTGAATCTTTTCATATACGTTATTGGTTATTGCACTGAGGCCGAGGTTAACCTTCCGACAAACATCATGTAGAATTTAAGGTTTCTATTTTAGAATTATAGTATAAGACGACCCCCAATTTTTAGGGGCGATTTTGGAGATTTAAAGGTCGTCTTATACGCGGTAATATACGTTAATAAGCTGTCATGATATTTTTCAATCATCTACACTCTCAGCTTTCATCCTGAGGCGGTCGAAAGTGATAGAAACAACTGCTTTTACTCAACATAAAGAAAGAATAGCAATTTTCGAACTTACCTGATATACGCCGTCTAGAGCCTTCTGTCCACTCCTTAATTCGTCGTCAGGATTCAGCTCTCTTCGAGACCTCCCAGAATGAGTTTTCGTAATTTCTGTGTCCGTCGAGAGGGCAACTGATGCATCAGGCCAATAATTTGACTGCTGGGAGGAACATGTGTAGTTCCCATGTTCCGTGACGCATTTGCATGGCGTATTTACTTCGTTACGGTGCGACGCATTTCGGCGTCCATTGTAACGAAGGATACATATCGACATAGCAGCCGTGATGGCCACAGATACAGTCACAGACACCACGACTATTGCAACTAAGAGGTAGAGGTGTATATTGTCGTTAGACTTTTTTCGAACAGAATTCAGCATTTCGAATGTCTTATTGCTGACCGTGAGGGTTAGAGACAAAGTAGTCGTAGCAGATTGCACTGGTGTTCCGCTATCCTTAACGACAAATTCCAGGTCGTATGACCCTGCGTCTTGTTGGGTGACTAGACGACTGAACGACAAAAGTCCAGTGTAATGGTTGATAGTGAAAAGTTGTTTGTCGTTGCCTGAGGTTATTTCATATTTCAAAAAAGCGTTCTCTCGACTGTCACTGTCGGAGGCACGCAATACCGTGATATTGTTCGTATAGTCTGGATAATAGATAATATCTAAAAGGAAGGGGTTAACATTGGGGAATGTAAAATATGGAGCATTGTCATTTTCATCTCTGATTTCAACACTCACGTACATTGTGTTGTTTAAAGATGGTATCCCGTTGTCTTTTACCAATACTCGAAATTCGTAAACATCTTGGAATTCGTGATCCAAAGATATAACCGTAGAAATTAATCCATTGTCTGTAATCTGAAAAGGCAGAAACTGCTTGTAGTTTGTCAATAACGAATAGGTTAGCTGACCACCAGGGCCAAGATCAGGATCACTTGCATTTATGATACCTACTGGAAAATTAGGCTTCTCATTTTCGCGTATCCAGAATTTACAAGTCTCTTTTGAAAATTGCGGCCGTACATCATTGACATCCATCACATGAATAGAAAATTTGCTTTCCCTATGTAAGGGCGGGGAACCTTTGTCCTGGCAGCTAATTGTAATATCGTGGTGGTCTTCTATTTCTCTGTCCAGCGAATTGTCCACTGTTATCTTGTATTCCTTTGGACCAAGGCTTTGTAGTTGGAACATATCATGGTTGAGGTAACAAGTGACTTCTCCGTTCGGCCCAAAATCATCATCAGTGACCATCACATATGCTATGAAACTGCCAACGTCAACATCCTCAGAAACCGTAGCAGTGTTCTCAATTGATGCAGAAAAGAAGTTTACATCAATGATCGGAGCGTTATTTTGTTCATTGACCACGTTTATCAGAACCATTACAATAGAGCTAAGAGGTGGCTCGCCTCCGTCTGTTGCTTCTACGTACAATTTGTACATTGGCTTTTGTCCAGAAATGAATTTTTTATAGAGAAATACCTCCCCAGTTTTGTCATTTAATCTGAAAGTGTTCTTGGCAACCTCTGATGTCCTGGCACTGAAATGGTAAGAGACTTTACCGTTTCTCCCGGAATCCAGATCTTTGGCAGACAAAATGGTTACAGGTGTGGCAACGTTGTGTTCGTACTTAATAGACACATTGTAGACATTACGGGAAAAGATGGGTGCGTTATCGTTAACGTCTGTGACAGATATGTGTACGTCTAAAATGCTTTGTTTCGGTGGAGAGCCTCCGTCTTTGGCGATCACTTGAACCATATATGAATCTTTCACTTCACGATCTAAGGTCTCTTCAAATGCTATACTGAGTTTGGATGTGCCGTCCACGCTTTTTGAAACCGACAGAACAAACGGTTCGTCGATGTTTTTCTTTAGTTGATATGTAATCTGCGAATTGACGATACCTACGTCTTTGTCAATAGCGTTGGGGATCGATCTCCTGGCTCCTTTTCTGTCGTCTTCTGAAAACTGTATGTCGACTTCCTGTTCGGGAAACTCTGGCTGAAAGTCGTTGACATCTTGCACGATTACTTTGATTTTGACGATCTTCATGAAGGTTTTAACACGTCGCACGGCGACTTTTAGGATTCGAAAGCATTCCATATTGTGCCTGCAAAGTGACTCCGCATCTAACGTCTGAAAAGTATAGAGTTTCCCTGTTTTTGAAATACGAAAAAGCTGCTGAGTGCCAGTGGCTCCCTGCTGTAACTGGCTAAACCTAATTAAATTGCGATTTAAGGGCGAAACAGTTTCTGTAAGATGCGTGTCGGCAGCAATGTCGCCCACCAGGGAGCCAGGGCTTTTCCCTTCTTCTACATAGTAAGTAAGATCTACGCAGAGAGACGCGTGCAGGACGGACAAAAATAATACACACGTCGGTATCAGCATTGTTAGTCAGAGCCCTTACAGAAGAATTCATTCAATTAAAAGACGTAATCTGAAATTTGAAGAGAAAAGAGAATGAAAAAAATAAAATAAAAACAATAGCAAAATATTAGACGGGAAAAACGAAATAGCGGAAAAAAAGAAATCTACAATAATCCTAATTTATATTCATTAGTTTTGTCTTACTGGTTTGTTTGCTATTCTACAACAAACAGAGGTGTGGTCGGAGGAATTAATCAATATTCCTGGAATTCCAACGGAAAACAACTTTCAATCGGTTCTAGTCGTTTTTCTTAACAAAAATTACGTATTCATTTTTGGTTTTGCATTTTCATGATAATGAAAGACATGAAGGAAAATCAAAAAGAAGAAAAAAGAAAAACTATAAATTAAAAAAAGAAGGAAATCAAGAAAAATTATCTTCCCCAATCGAATGTAAACAAACAAAAATAGAAAAGTGTTTTCTGTTTATTCTAAATCCAAATAACGTGCAGAGTAATTGTAAAGTCACATCGCAGTAAAGTCCCGATGTTTAATACAAAGCCTAGTCTAGTTCAAGGCACAACATTTGTAGCATTCAGTGGGACTTGAATTAACAGTATATCAGCTGTGGTAATAAAATAAGCACGTTCTATCTCCCCCTCTTGCTTGTAACCATCTATCTCAATAAAATAAACGTTTTTCAGCACTAAAGCAGAATGAGTCAAATAAAGCTTCATAAGCTTCTACTTCTGAGTTGTTACTATATTACATGAGCATTGGCGGACTTAGAGAGGGGCGAGAGCAGTTTTTTGACTCAGGCAGCAATTTTTTTTTTTGTGGGGGTGGGGGGCAGATTGGTGGGAAAATTTTGTGCAGTATTTACATGTTAGTATAAACGAAGTAGCGTGCAAAAATTATTTGTATCATTTTTGCCCCCCTCTCTCCTTCCACTTGTTCAGTTTTTGCCTAGATTCACTTTACGGAGGAAAGTAGGAAAGCAGTCCCAGAATGTGAGCTACTAATTAGAGACCCCAATAGCAAGCAAGTGAAAACATTTAAAAAAACTGAGAAGTATATTGACAGGGGGACGGAAAATACAACACCAAAATCAGAAGGTATTGGTATAATGAAAAATGCTTTCGAAAAGCCAAGCAAAGTATTAAGAAACAGGATAATTTCATTTAAAACAATGAAAGAATGAAAGAACAGCTAGTAATATCCTTAACCCCTACATTTTTTTTAATCAATTCATCCCAAGCAAGGTGATAATGCCACTAAGACGCAAGGAGTTACTGGGAGTAAAAGGGAATGAGAAAACTCTAGAAGGAACCGGAAACCAAATCCTAAACAGAAAACCTGTGCTCCCGTTCAAAAGATTAGGGAGGAGTGTGAACTGGTTGATAGGCTATGGTAGTAAATGCTGGACAATTTCCTCACAGATGAAGAGGTAATTTGAGGCAATATAAATGTGTTTCTGCAGAAGTATGTATGACAATACCATGGACAGAGCATTTAAGCAACAAGGAAGTTTTTAAGGAAAATTGAAACAAAGAATCAGAAAGAGACTGTTGAAATTTCTGTGACATGTAGTAAGGAAAGAGGGCTTGGAGAATTTGACACTCACAAGTATGAGGGACAGAGAGGAGCAGCATATAATCTACCTAACAATCTTGAGTAAATGGATGGCAGAACATGGTGGGAGAAGAAAAAGGCAACTTGTACTGAGAGCTACAAAAAACAGGAAGTTATGGGAGTGGGGAATGATTGCCAACATTCTGGAGGAACACATTACCTAAAAGAAGAAAAAGTCTATGTACATTGGCAAACCTAGAGAGGGTAGGATACACAGTTCAACTCAGGTGACAAGTTTTGCTTCAGGTATCATTTTGGTGAATTTTAGTGGCTTCCAAATTTAGTTGTGTCTTTTTTCATTCACCTTGTGCGCTTTTTTCCCCTCTCATTCCTCTTGTTACATTTTTCCACCTCATTCCACCTGTATGATTTTTTGCCTCTCATTCACCTTGTGCCATTTTTACCTCTCATTTCCCTTGTATCATTTTTCCCCTCTTTTTCCAGTTTTCCTCCTTATTCCTCTTGTGCTAGTTTACCCCATTCCACCTGTGTCCTATTTTCTATTCATTTCACTTGTACAGCTTTTGTCTCTCATTACCCATGTGCCATTTCTCCCTTTCATTCCAATGGTTTCAATTTCCTCTCTCATTCCATTTGTGCCATTTTCTCCACTCATTCCCTTTGTACAATTTCTCTCTTTCATTGCCTTTGTATCATTTACATCTCATATCATTTGTTCCATTTTCCCCTATTCCACCTTGCCATTTTTCTTATTCCATTTGTGCCATTTCCCCCATTTTGACATGTGCCATTTTTCCTCTCATTCTCCATGTGCTATTTCCCCCTCTCATTCCAACTGTGCCATTTTTCTTCTTATTCTACTTGTACCATTTTTGCATCTTATTCTCCATGTGCCATCTCCCCTCATTCCACTCTCATTCCAATTGTACGAGTTTCCCTCATTTACCTTATACCATTTTACCCCTCCCATTCCCTTTGTTTTCTTTCTTTCATTCCACTTGTGGCATTTTTCCCTCCTATTCAAAGTTTTACTTTGAGAGTTACACTATAAATCAATTACTGTCAGGGGATTTTTTTTCATAGTGTCTATATTGTTAATGTAATAATATTTCACCCTAAAATTGTAATTTCTAAAAAAAGATTTTCTAATTATATTTAAATATATTATTTCAGCATCTTATTTTGATGTTGCATTTTTCTTTGTTGCTGATTTTTGCATGTGTTTATGTGTGTGTGTGTGTGTGTGTTTATGTGTGCGCATTCAAAACAAATGACCGTAATTTTAATTTTTCTTTATATTTTGTAGATGTTGTCCAATTTAGGAATTTTGTTCAGATGGGCATCAAATTCACCAGGCATTACAAACACTATCTACAAGACTAAGTTTCTCACCTAAACATCACTGTACAATAAACATCTAAGTCATTCTAGAGTCTTTCTTCTTTTGTATGAAATTCAAAATATTTAAATTAACAATTCTTTCTCCAGTCTTTATTAGACAGCATTTTTCAGGTTTTCATTTTCTAAATTCTATTCTAACTTCTATGAAATTTTGCTGGCTTTGATATTAACTTTCTTTCATTTGTCTGTGGGATTGTTAATCAAAGTATGAATTCAGCTATAAAGGAAAAACATCAAACTTGGCCTTTTTCAAAAGCACACATGTTTCTCTAAAGAAAGAGATTAGAAACATTAAGATCCAATGCAGGCCTCAAAAGAACCACATAGGTTTCTTCTAGAACCTGTAGACTCTCCAGAAAGCATAGAGCCACTAAAACACCACACAAAGTTATGCTGGAGCAGTTTCAGTACCAAGTAGACCTGAATTCAGTGTTGTTGTTCTCTTAGACTGGCTGCCATCCAAGGTTAGAGAATAGAGTCTACCTTGCAATTTAACCCATAGCTGAAGGGAGAAGAATTGGATTTGTGCTTTCCCAAGAGCATTTTTGTGAAATGAATTGAATTTGAACTCAGCTCTCTGTGCCAATAACTATTGCACTGAGTTTGCATCCTGACACAAATGATTGGCTGTAGAGAACAGTAGCTTATAGTCTAGTTGCAACACCAGCTGACTGGCACCTTCTATAAATCCATGCTTTTTTTTCTTGTGCCAAAAAGTTCTCCCTCTACAGCGGGTCATGTAAGTTATACTTTTCTTGTTTCATAAAAGGCATAACTTTCCATTGCTAAACCTTTTTTATTTTATTCCATTAGAATAAATATTTCATAAAATTTCAGCAAGTCTTTTGTTTTATTTTCACTCCATATCATTTTGTTAAAAACATGCTGAGTGTTGGAGATCAATGGCTCCCAACCGTTTTTTAGCTCACTTTGAATTTTTCACTGGCCCATGAAATTATTATAGTGTAAAATATTACTTCCATTCTGTGGCCCATAAGCTGTGGCCCATATATTAATTATAAAATTTCTCTGGCCCACCTGAAATTTGCCATGGACCATGTTGGCTATGTTGCCATAGTTTGAGAAACACTGGTGTAGCTAACTCCTCACTAGATATAATACCATTTTAACATTACACTACACACATCCTCAACATAGACTTAGTCCATCTGAAAATATTGGTCCAATTTTATTACTGAACTTAATAAACACTATGCATGAATTATTGATTATTTGAAAAGTATAAAAGCAAAAATTAATAAATTGATATGCATGGTAAGGCAAATGTTGATTGTACCTTTTCTTGTTTAGTGAAACTTATTGGTTGTGATAGCGAAACATTTATACAGTACGTACACGAAGCAAAGCTGTGATTTAAGCAACTTTTCATTGAGGAAAGAGTTACAATTTGCAACTATCTTTTCAAATGAAAAATCGATACATTTTGATTTAAGCAAGTTTTCCTTAATTAAAGAGGAACCCTTTGATTCTTTCAAATGAAAAAAAATCCATTATGATTTAAACAACTTTTCATGAATGAATGAGTAACAATTTGCAATTATTCTTTCAAACTGAAATAAAATCAATCCATTGAGATTTAAACAACTTTTCATCAATGAAAGAGTAGCAATTTGAAATTAATCTTTCAAATGAAACACTTCATACATTGTAATTTAGGCAACTTTTCATCAATGAAAAAGTAACAATTTGAAATTATTCTTTCAAATGAAACACTCCATTCA